CTCTCTCTCTCTCTCTCTCTCTCTCTCTCTCGCTCTCTCTCTCATATTTGCAATAGTTGTTTACACATTTGGTTTAATTTTAAATAATTTAGTTTCCAATGCCGCGTTTAAAATTAATGAAAATTATGAAAAGAAGTTGGACAGCCATGGTGAAACGTTATATGAAATTGGGTGGCTATGGTGAAATAAATTCAAATTAGGTGGTCATGGTGACGCTAAATATAAAGTTGGGTAGTCGTGGTGACACAAGTGTAAAGTTAGGTAGACATTGATGGATTTAGCCCTTTAAGTTTAGGATAGAACGATTCGATTTCCTTTACTCCATTCATTTAATTAAAAAATACTATAAAATTTGCATTTATTAAGTTGGTACGTTAATATAATTACTCTATTCAATATTTATATGACAAATAATCACACATAAAATTACCAATGTGTCATCTTAATTGAACTATTAGACACGATCCTAGAATCTACATAAATAATTTGGATCGTTATGGCATTCCTTGTTACAACATGTTCACTTCTCATTAATGATCAAACTTTCTATTCCCTTGCAAAGTTTATTCTATATAAATAAATTCCTCCATCTCATGTTATAACTCTAATACGAAAATAAAAAGTAAAATTCTCATTTTACAAAAAATAAAAAAAGGAACGCTTGTCCAATGCAACTCGATTCTTAATAAAATCATTTTCATCTGGACATTGACCACTCGTAGTCAGTTACAAAACCATTAATTGGAATAATTAATAATCCAACTTTTCACTCCCTTTAGGTAAAGATTCTTCCACGCACATAGATTTTTGTAACTAAAGGACTCGAGTCTTTCATGTCACAACAAGCCAAATTAATGCTTGTGCCTTTGACCCAAAAGCTATTTACCCCTCGCCAACCCCCCAACCACCAAAGCCAAGACAAAATTTGTTAAAGTTTTAGGTGAGTTTAAGATGAGGTCGAACTCAATTTTTTTTTTTTTTTTAATATGTACAGTTTGAACAAAGGCACACCTCTTTCTCACACAGATTTTCAATAGTTGATTACACATTTTGTTTATTCTCATTTTGGTACATATTCTTTCAAAATACATTGTTTTAAAACTTATTTTCAAACACATATTTTACAATTAAATAATATTTTCAATTACATCAATAACTTTTCATTACTTTTTAACCATATATTTCCATCATATCACTATTTAAAATACATTATTTTCTCAATAATATCCATCAAATACACCCTTAATTTTAAATAATTTAGTTTCCAACGTTATTTATATTGATTTAATTAGAAGCTTATAAAAAGGCATGTTAAAATGGAGCGAACTCGTGCATCAAAAACATGGTATGTCAATAAATATCATTATAATTTGAAATGAAACATTTATTATAATTAAATTTTCACTACTCTTGCTCATTATCTACAAATTTGGTGAGACCCACTAATTTTCCTTTAATTCTATTATAATTTCTCCCAAACAAACACCATTACGTATGCTAAACCAGACTTGATTAGAATAAAGTAAACAACAATAAAAAATTTGTCATTATATACTGAACATACAAGAATATGAAAAAAAAATGTAAAAAAAATTTGTCAGCTTTCATCATGCGTAACGCACCACTAGCTAGCCTCTGTAACTTCCCAACCCATGCGGGCCCAACAACCAAGAAAGCAGTAAATAATTAACCTTTTCCAAGCGGAGGGATTGTTTGAGAGCGGTTCCTAGTATTGTAGTCTGAAGTCAGTCTTCAGAGTTGGTGCAAGTTCAAAAAACCCTCCAGTATAGAACCTACATTATCAAGTTACTCATTTTCTGTTCATTATTTACCAAACATCACTCTTAAAAGCCATCAAGTTTACTCAAAATAACTGAAATTAACACAAGTAACACCAATTAATATAATACATTCACTAGTCAATTTGAAAATACAACACGTAAAAGAAAGAAATTACATTTACGACGACAACAATTACATTAACACGACAAACGAAAACATCAAAATACAGATATACGACACAGCCAGCATTCTATCACACCAACGCCAGTTAAGAGGAACCCTCGTTTCTTGGCACAAACTTGCGCATCCAAACGTGCTTTCCATTGATGGTAAACTAGGCCTTCTCCGAACCATTGAGAATTTCCTGAATAAATGAGGCTTTAAGGAACACGACTCGAGCATAAAGTGGTTGCTCATAAGGCCTAACATCCTGCATTCTGAAGGACTCTATGCAATTCCCAAAGAACGTTGCGAAGAAGTGCCTAACTTCCATTTCAGCCGCAGGATAACCCCTAGAAAATGTTGCAAACATAGTCCTGTCTTCTGGTAGTACCTCATTTACATTCCTTCCAACTCTCATGTTAGAGAAGTTATGGATTATGGACTCGTGGAAATGACGTGACATCATCATTTTGTTTGACCCCGATCTTCGTTTACCATTGAATGGCATCACAACAGGATTTGATAGAGGATAGCATAAAGAGCCTGTCAATTGAATGGTAAGCACGCAGCGCCTCCAGGCTGACTAACTGGTTTAGCATCCATATGAAGATTCGAACTTGAGACTAGTGAAAATCCTGATAACAGAATTTACCCAGGGATTAAATCAAGAAAATTTATAAAAGGAAAAAAACTCAAAAAACAAAGCCCAACGCGATGTTTCTCTAACAATCTTTACAATCATGACAGATCTAAAGATTTCGGGCTAATATATTGCAAATTTATTAACATTAAAAGTAACACAAATCAGTAAACAAGCAAAACCAGAACTAGCATAAGGAAGCCAACCTACTCGGGTATCTGAAAGGTAGCTACAAGTAATGAATTGGAGGATACTCTAGCGACTTTTATAAAGCTAAGCCTAATGCCACGTGCCACCATTTTTTCGCAGCCCGATACCACAGAAGAAGCCTAATTTTCTCAGCCCAATGCCACGAATCAAGCTTGTTTAATGAATAACTCCTGGAAAGATACGTTTTTTTATCAAGAAATCTCCACCTATGGCCAACCACACAATACAACCCCAGTTTCTATGCTTCGCAGCCTACGAAAGAGATGAATCGCGAAGCGTTCATATCGATACTATAAACCACAAGCAATAATTAAGATGGCTTCAAACTATTTAAAAATCAATCAGCTGTAGCTGGTAAAATATATTTTTCTTAGATTATAGGAAGACTAGATACCTTTAGGGTGCGTTTGATTGTAAGGGTGAAAAATGGGTGGAAATAAAATATTTTATAGGGAAAAGATTTGCTTAAAAAATGTTTTGCAGTAAAAACGATTTCAAGTGTGTTTGATTGGTATAATTTTCCACCCAAAATTTTTTTAAATTTTCTATTCGTTTGGCTTTGTTTTACATAAAATTGTCCATTAAAGTGATATTTTTTTCCACAATTGGTTATAAAATTTTTTTCCATTGCCAAAAAGTAAAAAAAAAAAAAGGGAAAAAAAAATGTTTCCTAAAAAATCATTTTTTTATCAAAGTTTAGTGTTCGTTTGACTTTGTTTTACATGAAAATTGTCCATTAAAGTCAAATTTTTTTACCATTAGTTATGACATTTGTTTCCATTGCCAAAAAAAATAAAAAATAAAAAATCCAGCCAGTTGTGAAAATATTTTCCCATAATAAAGGCAGGAAAACATTTTCATCAAAAACCCGAAAATTGAACACGTGAGGGAAAAATCCGAAAAATATTTTCCGTAGCAAATTTCGCCTATCAAACGGCCAAAAAAGTGAAAAGTGGAAAATATTTTCCTACTTCCCCGGAAAATGTTGCCTATCAAACATGGTCTTATATTTTGGCAATTTCAATCTAGGGAAAGAAACGCATGTACATTAAGAAAGCAAGAAATTATCTAGTTACCTAAATAGCCAATATCTAAAGATGAAATGACCTGGGTAAATATAGTATGTCAATAAGTCGTAACGTAATCCATTTCTTGATTCACTTTTACACCAGTTTCCATAGCTAGTTGCACACGTAGATTTGTTCAGTATCTACCCCGTGACCTACACCTGCTATGTTCACATTTTACACATAAGCTCCTAATAGGGAACAAATTGTGAAAGCAGTCAAAAACTCATTTTTTTCTACCCACAATATTTTTATTTTTAAATAATTTACAATTTGCATCAGATAATCTCATGATGAAGTGAATGCAATGATGAAAAGTGATTCATATAATTCACCTCAAATTTAGTGAGAATAACTTAGATTGTTGGTATTTTTAAATAATTCATCCATTAGAACCAAAGATGAAATCCAAAATAAATATATAACTCTTTTCTTTGCTGTGTCACTCTTGTAGATGCATAAACCTTTAAGCATCTACCACCGGCATTGAAGTATTATACATCCATTCTTGTCTAGATTACCTATTTACTGAATATTGAATTAGAGTCGTCAAAAACAATATTTTGCTATAAACTTTCTAATGTAATAAAGAGTCATTTCCAAGGTCAAAAATGTTCACCAGCATGAAAGCTTTTTCTTTACAATCTAGTAAACGAGGATAAAGAGCTATAATCGCATTTGTTAGCCTAAATAAAATTCCTGGTGTATGGCTCAACTTTGCTGTTTGGTTCAAAAACTTTGCTCAAGGACAAAACCCTAACTTGGCTGAACTTCGTTACTCAAATCAATAATTTGCTCAATAACAGTACCCTAACCCTAACTGAAGGAATTGGTCTGTTATTCATTGATACCGTTCATTACCAATCCGATAGCAGCTTATCTAACCAAAATATTTTAATTCGTCAACACCTGGCCACTTATTTAAGAAAATGTTTGCCATAAATTATTTCTGTTAGGAGTATCTGAGAATAAGTCTAAAGAAGAATGTATTTCTGCTAATTATTCATGTTAGCTTGTTGTTGTTAAGCTCAAAACCAGGTATATATCATTATTTTCTCTACTATCTGTATATGGAGCAAATGCTCTTAGAAAAATTCCTCCTATACAAGGTTGAAGTCTATTTACTGTGACCGTTAGATCGACGACGTACTATCCCCACTGTACCAACATGAGTTTTTTCAGCATGCTTTATTCCTCACTGCACGCTCCTCGAGAAAACTTCCCGGGGGATCACCCATCATAGAATTGCTCCAAGCCGAGCACGCTTAACTGTTAAGTTTCTAACGATGGACTTCCGGAAAAGAAGGTGCACCTTGTTGGTATGAGTAGTACCTATCAAATCTTTTAAACTTTCCTGATCTAGGTATTACAATCACCCCCCGTTAGACTCGCGACGTCCTCGTCGCGCTTGATATATCTGATGATCTATTGTCAGACGTTGGGATTCTAGAGGCGGCTCCCGCACTATGGCATAGCACTTTGTCCCGCATAGCACTTAGAGCTTGATATATCTGATGATCTGTTGCCAGACGTTGGGATTCTAAAGGTAGCTCCCGCATTATGGCATAGCACTTTATCCCGCATAGCACTTAGTTCCTGATTTTCGGCTAGCAATCGGTCTCTGATATCATTTGTAACGACCCGAGTCCCACTTAACGGGCTGTCCCGACCGTTAGATCGACGACGTAATGTCCCCACTGTACCAACATGAGTCTTTTCAGCATGCTTTATCCTCACTCGCACACTCCCTGAGAAAACTTCTCAAGGGGTCACCCATCATAGAATTGCTCTAAGCCAAGCACGCTTAACTGTTGAGTTTCTAACTATGGACTTCCGAAAAAGAAGGTGCACCTTGTTGGTATGAGTAGTACCTATCAAATCTTTTAAACTTTTCTGGTCTAGGTATTACAGTATCAGTATGAAGCTATATAAATGATTTCAAAAGTTCACGACCACTCCAACAAGTATCAAGAATTTATAGTTATTAAGCAACATAAGTTCATCACGGAAAGCAAGTGCTAAATATGTCCATACGGAACAAATATAGAAATTTGATGCAAACTCAAACTTCCTTTTCAACAACATTTGCTTGTAAAGGTGTTTGGATATTTACACTCTACTCTGTGTAATATTGCAGTGCTAATCATAACAAAGCATTTATCGAATGAAACTGCTGAATATATGCTACCAAGACATTAACAACAGACTAAGATCATTAACAAAATCAAATAGATATAATCAAACTAAGATTTTAATTCTGGTAGAAATAAAGTTCGGTCGGATTCCATACCTTAAAGAAGCCGTGAACGGAAATCTAAGGGTTTTGTTACTGCAGCACTTCACAACAATATGTCCTTTCATGGCTTCTGCAATGGCAACTAAGATCCTAGTAGCTGCAGAAATCCGGAGAATATTTTGCACAAGGTGCACAGTCACTCCCACACAAAATTAAAAGTTCAAGATCATAATTACTCAAGAATACTAGATATACGAGTGCACCAGCTGACACTGGGCAACTAGTGCCAGCCACCAAGTTTGCTCACTATGAGTTACTTTTAAGCCCAGGAAAAAACCTAAAAAAGTCCCACAAACGAGCTTAATATGGAGGTGTCCTTAGGAAATTATATTCTTCTCATTAAAAGAAATTCCTATATTTCCTAGATAAGGATAGTCGACTTAGTTAGAAACTTACGAGGCCAAGAAACTTAGGAAGAGAAGGAGAACGAATCTTAAGAATTAGCAGGAATTTCATATAGCTACACAACAGCTGACCAGGAGAGCAGAAAATGATAATAATATACAGCAGCAATTATACTAAATAAACAACATGACAATTACAACAAACGGTAGAAGCCTATAAGCACAAAACAAGGCAGAAATTACAAATATCTCCAACTCAATGAACATCTATCAGACTTCAGATTCTTAGAGTGACTCTAAAGTGAAGGGCATCTGTATAGTTTGCTTTATTTGTCTTTGTTATAGACCCATAACCCTTTGAAGCTGGGACCTCCAGCAGCAGTACCTAGATCAGACAGAGAAAGACCGCCAGGGGCAAACTTCTCACTGAGTGGTGGCGATGACAGGGCAGCAACCAGGTGATGACGACTTTGAGATATAAATGACGCTGTTATTGCTCTCAGAATGGCTCATGTTTTCTGCCTGAGTTAATCCACTTCTAGAGTTGGCAGGTCTTTTTGATATCCCACCATTGTTACTTCTTAAAGTACTATTACGATTCATGTCCCAAAAGTTATTGTAGGCAAGCAAATTCTTTTGCTTCCTGGTGTATGCATCATCAGGCTTACCAATATCTTTAATGGAAGACAGGCTGGTAATAGATTTGGATTATTCACAGTAGATTTTAGGGTCCGTTTGATTGCAAAGGTGGAAAGAAAATGTTTTATAGAAAATTAAATTGTCTTAAAATTGTTTTATTGGGAATTGTAATTAATTGTGTTTGAATGATATAATTTTCCACCTACAAAATATTGAAAGTTTGATATCCGTTTGGCTTCGTTTTTTATGAAAATTGTACATTAAAGTGATAATTTTTTCTACCATTAGGTCTAAAATTTGTTCTAATTACCGAAAAAAAAAAAATTGAAAAAAAAAATTACTATAGCGAATACCATTCGTTTGACTTTGTTTTGCATGGAAATCATTAATAAAAAAATTTTTTTTTTTACCATTTTCTAAAATTTTTTCCAATTGTAAAAAAAAAAAATTGGAAAACCAATTCCCCCCAAAATGGTGGGAATTGATTTTCCCATAAATCAAGGAAAGTGGCACGAGAGAGCCACAACCAAGAAAACAAATTGCCGAGAAAAAAGGCTATCAAACACTCAAAAAGTGGAAGTTGGAAATCCAGTATAGTTTGCTTTATTTGTCTTTGTTATAGACCCATAACCCTTTGAAGCTGGGACCTCCAGCAGCAGTACCTGGATCAGACAGAGAAAGACCGCCAGGGGCAAACTTCTCACTGAGTGGTGGCGATGACAGGGCAGCAACCAGGTGATGACGACTTTGAGATATAAATTACGCTGTTATTGCTCTCAGAATGGCTCATGTTTTCTGCCTGAGTTAATCCACTTCTAGAGTTGGCAGGTCTTTTTGATATCCCACCATTGTTACTTCTTAAAGTACTATTACGATTCATGTCCCAAAAGTTATTGTAGGCAAGCAAATTCTTTTGCTTCCTGGTGTATGCATCATCAGGCTTACCAATATCTTTAATGGAAGACAGGCTGGTAATAGATTAGGATTATTCACAGTAGATCTTAGGGTCCGTTTGATTGCAAATGTGGAAAGAAAATGTTTTATAGGAAATTAAATTGTCTTAAAATTGTTTTATTGGGAATTGTAATTAATTGTGTTTGAATGATATAATTTTCCACCTACAAAATGTTGAAAGTTTGATATCCGTTTGGCTTCGTTTTTTATGAAAATTGTCCATTAAAGTGATAATTTTTTCTACCATTGGGTCTAAAATTTGTTCTAATTACCGAAAAAAAAAGAAAAAAAATTGAAAAAAAAAATTACTATAGCGAATACCATTCATTTGACTTTGCTTTGCATGGAAATTGTCAATAAAAAAGAAATTTTTTTTTACCATTGTCTAAAATTTTTTCTAATTTTAAAAAAATAAAAATTGGAAAATCAATTCCCACCCAAAATGGGGGGGAATTGGTTTTCCCATAAATCAAGGAAAGTGGCACGTGAGAGCCACAACCAAGAAAACAAATTGCCTAAAAAAAAAGACTATCAAACACTCAAAAAGTGGAAGTTGGAATTCCTTTTCCATTTTTCATGGAAAATAATGGTGAATCAAACATAGCCTTGGATATGCCGTTCCTGAAATAAGCCAATAGAAATTATTGGATAAAAACACATAAAATAAATGCAAAAGAAATTCCTAAGCTAACTATCATAAGTTAGAAATTACTTATTGTAATTGATGCAAAAACAACATATAAACATAAATACAAAAGGAATTCCTAAGCTAACTATCATAAGTTAGAAATTACTTCTTGTAACTGATGCAAATCAATGAAAATTAGATACTCTCTTTTNAAGTAAATATTCTTTTTTTTTTTTTTTTTCATAATATTAGGATGATATAAGATGTGCAGTTGGAAAGGATTGATATAATTCCTTATCACTGAACTCTACAAACATCAAAATGTTGAAGCATCAACTTGTTTTGCCATTGAACTGATCTTGAACAAGCTTTTATCTAGCAATCTCAAACAAAGGTTCAACTACAGTGGCTTCGAGCTATGTTGATTACAAACTTCTGTTAACCTGGACAAGATAATAATAAAAAAAAGAAATCCATTAACTTTGTTTTTGTTTGCAACTGTTATTTAACTTCGCCATGCACAAGTTCATTATTTTCGTACAAAGATACTCTTCTTGCAATTAAACAACAAAATCAACAAATAGGAAACAAATGAAAACCCTAAAACACATTAAAAATGAGAAAAAAAATGTAAAAAACTCTAATTTAAAAGCAAAAATAATTTCTTCAAATCAGGACCGGATACTCATTAAAAATGAATTTTAACTCAAAAAAATAAGAGGAGAACATGTACCTTATAGGCAAAACTTTCTCCAAAGCATCGAACCCCTCATATGATCTCCTTTATATTCACTCTGTACCTCTTCCCCTCGACGTGTGACTCATCACTGTTCTTCCCAATCGAAGATGATAACGACAAGAGCTAATACTCCTCCGTCGCCACTGCTGGAAACCTCTGATCACCAGAGACGGACTCTGGCGTGTTGCAGGTCAACGATATACACGCCATCTATGTTAAATAAATCCTAGCTTTTCAACCCTGAGGGGTTGCTCAATTGGTTAGGCCTTGAATTTGCTTCCCAATGGTTACCGGTTCGAGTCTGAGGTGAGTACCCGGCTGTAAACTTCAGGGCCCCGTGGAATTAGTCGAGGTGCGCGCAAGCTGGCCCCGACATCCACGGTTATCAAAAAAAAAAAATCCTAGCTTTTCGATTTAGCGAGAGATGAATGATCAGTTGAAAGAAAGAAAATAGCAAAGTAGGAAATGCCCCAATTTTAACCAGACAAGAAAAGAAGTTAGCAACTGGATAATACACGACAAATCTTCAAACACATCTCTCGGCTTCGATTTACCCGAAGTGGTGTACCCCTCAATTCACACCAAAAATCACTCACATTCTCTCTTCCAACTCTCTTCGCCAAGCCAAAATCTGCAATCTTTTCCCCAAAGCAACTAATGATTTCTGGACAATCTTTAAGCTCATCAAGTATCAATTTCTCGTTCATAAGCGAATCAGAAAGAGACACCCCCACAATATTTCACGGCCATCAATGGCGGAATTTGAGAGCTCTGGCTTCTGGATATGGCTAAATTCACCGTTCCAAAGCTTCCATTGCCCAGTTTAAAATCGACAGCCCTTCATTTTTATAAAAATAAAACGCAAACATGGAATACCTTCAGTGGAAGTGGACCTGTGCGAAATAGTGGTTGCCAATTTCACCTACCGCAAACCGATTCAAATGGATGTTTGAAATGGATTTGGGGGTTAGGTACCTTCTGAGCGTGATTTTGGGTTTTCCAATTCCCAGCCGAAATCACGATGTGAAAAATGAAGTGGATTTGAGGTTCTGCGTGGAGGTGGTGCTTTGATATGAGTTAACATAGGGGTACTAGGGGTACTTTTAAGAATGCCCTTGTCAAACAACTATTTTTCCACATTATCCAAAAAATTTTGATATTCACCACAATAGCCTTTCAAACCTAAAAAGGCGAAAGTATCCTTAAAATATTATACAAATTACAAAAAATTGTATTGTTTAAAAGACAATAATACTCTTTTTAATTTATAAAGAATTTCAAACACTTCTCACTTAAAATTTTAAAATCAATTCACTTTCTTTATCTGTGTACTCTAATACAGATAAAAACTATTTCATTTTTTCTCTACTTCAAATTTGAAAGCAGATAAATTTATCAAACACTCAAAAAGAAAATATTATTCACAGTTATCAGTGAAATCGGTAATTATAGTTACGTATTTTAATTTTCGTTTTGGTAAAATTAGTACAGTATTTTAATCTTTAAATCTTATTTCGACATAAGCATGTGAAAATTTTACGATTTTAAATGGATCTATAATCATTTTTTTAAAAAAAAAACGAGAAAAAAATTCATCTGTATGTATAATTTCAGACAAATTTACGATCATCTGTAAAATCGTCAACCGTGCAGCATTTTTGGATCATAACTTTCTCTCCTAATGTCCGATTAAGATGATTCAAGACGCGTTGGGAAGCCAACTCAAAGGGCTACAACTTTGGTTCAGATACCATCTTCGAATTCGATCATTTTTCATGTCAAAAACTGGTCTCGATATGAGATTGAAAATCGGTGCAAAATTTTTCAGTTTGAAAGTTAATATGTGATAATATTTTGACTATATTTCATCCAATTGACCTCCAACACTCTCGAATCTTCATCACAAGGTTAGAAACAAGTTTAGAATATTTGCATTTTAATCCATGAACTATCACTTTCCTCAATTTTGATAATTTTCCCTCTTTTCTTCTAATTTCTATCGTATTCGTTCATTTGCAACCTAAACCAAAATGCAAGT